GTGATTAGCAACAGCAAGAAACTCGAATGGATGTTTAGAACTGAAGAAACTAAACCTGACGACCTGAAGAACAAACATGGGAACATGGTTACACACATACAATCCTGAGAGAAAAACTCTACTAGGCAATCAACGGGGTACATGCAAGATAGACGCAAACTGAGCCACAGACGGCAACAAGCTTAGGCACCAGAACTTCTTTAATCCGACTGAAAAAAGCTATCGAACCTGAAGAACTGGGAGCAAGCATATACACAGTACAAGGAGAAACTATGATAGCGCACAAGATCAAGAATGTAAGTTGAATCTAGAAGGCGTGACAAGGATGTAGGCCGAATCTCCCTGTAAAATCAAACTGGTGGACTACATTAACAGCACATACACACTCGAAGAGCAATATGTACCATCAAATGCAAACATGCATGTCTACAAACAGTCATCAACTTGCGAACAAACATCAAACATACGGCACAAACAAGCAAACTATCATGCACACAAACAAGCAACATACGCGACAAACTGAAAAGGCCAAAAATTAGGAACAAACAAGCAACATACGCTCACAAACAAGCAATATACGCGAACAAGCAACATACGCGCACAAACAAGCAACATACGCGCACAAATATGCTATTTAGAGTTGTAAGGTCATAATCATGGAGACGGAGCAGCAGTGTTACATCGCGGCGCGACATCTTAAACATCGCGAAATGTTGCCTCAGAGAACATCAACCTCACTCTGTTACCTTACAGCGGAACACCGTGACTTCAGGACGCAAACATCATGACCTCAGGACGCAAACTTTGTGCCTTCAGGACACAAACATCATAACTTCAGGACACAAACATCATAACTTCAGGACACAAACATCATAACTTCAGAACACAAACATCATAACTTCAGGAAACAAACATCATAACTTTAGGACACAAACATCATAACTTCAGGACACAAACATCATAACTTCAGGACACAAACATCATAACTTCAGGATGCAAACTCCATACAGTATTATGCTATTATGATCCCAAGGAAGCTCTAGACCCGGAAGGTCAATACAGGAACTGGGGAATGGGAAGTAAATATGCCTCATCCGAGGAAAAGAAAGGTAGCTTCAGTTTCCTGGATCAAGAGCCCTTTCACAGCATGAAGGCATCTCTCCTGAAGGGACATCCTGTGGTCAGACATGCAAGTTTTGTCGGGGTGGACGGGTAAGCCATGAAAAGGCCTCGGTCTTAAGACCAAAAGCTCCTCTATAAGCGGGTCGTCATGTAACCCACGTCTGAAGACCAGTAAAGCCAGACTACTGTGGACCAGTAGTCGGTTCACCATCGTCAGACTTATGCAACACATGGGAATCTTTATTGAAGAAAAGTTTCGCCACACAGTGGTTTCATCAGTCCAATACAAATCAGGAAGGTATAAGGAGAGGAGTTTGAGGTAATCAGTCCCTCAGCCTGGAGTCGATGTGTTCAGTCCATCACTCTACAAGATTGATGGACTGAACACATCGATTCCAGGCTGAGGGACTGATTACCTCAGACTCCTCCTCTCCTTACACCTTCCTGCTTTGTATTGGACTGATGAAGCCACTGTGTAGCAAAGCTTTCCTTGAATAAAGATCCCCATATGTTGCATAAGTGCCTCAATTCTTCAACTTGTCGGCTTTCAAAACCATTCATCACATCAAACTACCCTGGACCAGTAGTAATCGGCTCACGACCATCATGCTACCCTGGACCAGTAGTCAGCTCACCACCATCAGACTACCCTGGACCAGTAGTAGTAGGCTCACCACCATCAGACTATCCTGAACCAGCAGTCAGCTCACCAACATCAGACTTCTCCTGGACCAGTAGTCAACTCACCACCATCAGACTACCCTGGACCAGTAGTAGTAGGCTCACCACCATCAGACTATCCTGAACCAGCAGTCAGCTCACCAACATCAGACTTCTCCTGGACCAGTAGTCAACTCACCACCATCAGACTACCCTGGACCAGTAGTAGTCGGCTCACCACCATCAGACTATCCTGAACCAGCAGTCAGCTCACCAACATCAGACTTCTCCTGGACCAGTAGTCAACTCACCACCATCAGACTACCCTGGACCAGTAGTAGTCGGCTCACCATCATCAGACCGTGAACCAGTAGTCAGCTAACCACCATCAGACTAACCTGGACCAGTAGTAATCGGCTCACCACCATTAGACTACCCTTGACCAGTAGTAGTCGGCTCACCACCATCAGACTACCCTGGACCAGTAGTAATCGGTTCACCACCATCAGACTACCCTTGACCAGTAGTAGTCGGCTCACCACCATCAGACTACCCTGGACCAGTAGTAGTCGGCTCACCATCATCAGACTACCCTTGACCAGTAGTAGTCGACTCACTATCATCAGACTGCCCTGGACCAGTAGTAATCGACTCACCACCATCAGATTACCCTGGACCAGTAGTAATCGGCTCACCACCATCAGATTACCCTGGACCAGTAGTCGACTCACCATCATCAGACTACCCTGGACCAGTAGTAATCAACTCACCACCATCAGATTACCCTGGACCAGTAGTAATCGGCTCACCACCATCAGATTACCCTGGACCAGTAGTCGACTCACCACCATCAGACTATCCTGAACCAGCAGTCAGCTCACCAACATCAGACTTCTCCTGGACCAGTAGTCAACTCACCACCATCAGACTACCCTGGACCAGTAGTAGTCGGCTCACCACCATCAGACTATCCTGAACCAGCAGTCAGCTCACCAACATCAGACTTCTCCTGGACCAGTAGTCAACTCACCACCATCAGACTACCCTGGACCAGTAGTAGTCGGCTCACCATCATCAGACCGTGAACCAGTAGTCAGCTAACCACCATCAGACTAACCTGGACCAGTAGTAATCGGCTCACCACCATTAGACTACCCTTGACCAGTAGTAGTCGGCTCACCACCATCAGACTACCCTGGACCAGTAGTAATCGGTTCACCACCATCAGACTACCCTTGACCAGTAGTAGTCGGCTCACCACCATCAGACTACCCTGGACCAGTAGTAGTCGGCTCACCATCATCAGACTACCCTTGACCAGTAGTAGTCGACTCACTATCATCAGACTGCCCTGGACCAGTAGTAATCGACTCACCACCATCAGATTACCCTGGACCAGTAGTAATCGGCTCACCACCATCAGATTACCCTGGACCAGTAGTCGACTCACCATCATCAGACTACCCTGGACCAGTAGTAATCAACTCACCACCATCAGATTACCCTGGACCAGTAGTAATCGGCTCACAATCATCAGACTACCTTGGACCAGTAGTCGACTCACCATCATCAGACTACCCTGGACCAGTAGTCGGCTCACCATCATCAGACTACCCTGGATCAGTAGTAGTCGGCTCACTATCATCAGACTACCCTGGACCAGTAGTCGACTCACCACCATCAGACTACCCTGGACCAGTAGTCGGCTCACCCCCATCAGACTTCCCCTGGACCAGTAGTCGACTCACCATCATCAGACTTCCCTGGACCAGTAGTCGACTCACCATCATCAGACTACCCTGGACCAGTAGTCGGGTCACCACCATCAGACTACCCTGGACCAGTAGTCGACTCACCACCATCAGACTACCCTGGACCAGTAGTCGGCTCACCACCATCAGACTACCCTGGACCAGTAGTCGACTCACCACCATCAGACTACCCTGGACCAGTAGTCGACTCACCATCATCAGACTACCCTGGACCAGTAGTCGGCTCACCATCATCAGACTACCCTGGACTAGTAGTCGGCTCACCACCATCAGACTACCCTGGACCAGTAGTCGACTCACCACCATCAGACTACCCTGAACCAGTAGTCGACTCACCACCATCAGACTACCCTGGACCAGTAGTCGGGTCACCACCATCAGACTACCTTGAACCAGTAGTCGACTCACCACCATCAGACTACCCTGGACCAGTAGTCGGCTCACCATCATCAGACTACCCTGGACCAGTAGTCGGTTCACCACCATCAGACTTCCCTGGACCAGTAGTCGACTCACCACCATCAGACTACCTTGAACCAGTAGTCGACTCACCATCATCAGACTACCCTGGACCAATAGTCGACTCACCATCATCAGACTACCCTGGACCAGTAGTCGGCTCACCACCATCAGACTTCCCTGGACCAGTAGTCGATTCACCACCATCAGACTACCTTGAACCAGTAGTCGACTCACCATCATCAGACTACCCTGGACCAATAGTCGACTCACCATCATCAGACTACCCTGGACCAGTAGTCGACTCACCACCATCAGCGAGTATTGGCCGGGACTCACGTCTAGCTATTGGCCAAATTAAGCCTATCAGAAGTAAAGGTTTTTTATTTGATTATTCGCGTCCAACTAGTTTCCCTAGACGTCATAATCATTAGTTAGGAAATAAATGACGCTATTGAGCGCTTAGCCCGAAGGGGTCATATTGTTTTGGAAAAAGAATCGGCTGGTTCACAGATATTCAGTAATTATTAATTTTATTATTATTATTATTATTATTATTATTATTATTATTATTATTATTATTATTATTATTATTATTATTATTATTATTATTATTATTATTATATTCATGGGAAAACACGAAGACTTTAAAGATTCGTAGTGTCTGAAAAATTAGAAGTAATCAGGTTTGATCAAGGTAAAGACTAGATTCGCTCAAATACCTTGGACCAAGAGCTCCTTGTCAGGAATAAGGCATCCCTCCGTGAAGCGGCACTCGGCTTCAAGGAGGTGGGGAAAAATACAACCCACTCCTACCTCCCTTGGCCTGTGGTAGTGATTACAGAGCCCAGGATTGGTCCCTTCAGTCTCTCGTGGGATTACTTATGTGTGTGTGTGTCTGTGTGTGTGTGTGTGTGTGTGTGTGTGTTTAATTATTGAAAAAAAAGTGTAAGGGAGGTATTAAAGACCGCAAACTGGAGCACTTACTGGATTCCAGTCCTTTCTTGGGCTGTATTATCTTGGCCTGCGTCGGCGTCTTCAGGAGGAGGAAGAGGAGCAGTAGAAGAAGGCGGCAGCAGCAGTCGCTGTGCATAACGAGGGTCCTCACCTGCTCCGGGTAGGACACTAATCACGGTGTAGAGGATACCTCACCAGAATCTGGAACTCCCTATGCATGCATGACATTTTTTCCGGCATACACACAGTGCGAGGGCAGCCGTGAGAGCCACTGTGTTGACCTGCCACCACTGGACTTCCACTAGTTATAACTCAATCACAATCTCCACTAGATACCCCTGGCACTGCTCTCATATACTCTCTTCATTAAGCTCTGTTATTATCCATGAATGTATCACTAAAGTTAATAATGGCTACTCATCATCTTTAATACCCGTATTATGTTTTCTTTCCATTTATTATGTATATATATATATACATATACTTAGCAAAAAACTTTAAATATTTCAATAATTTATGGTTTCAGCATTTATATCTATTAGTGAATGTGTCAAGCTTCGCGACGGAGCACCATCCAGGGTATGAGGTTCACGGACGCTAGGGAACACAAGGTGGCTCTTTCTGGCGTAGCGGAACACCTGGTAAAGTGAGTAGTCCGGGCGTGCAGGTGACACTGCAAGAGGTCCTGCCCGCGCGGCGGCCTCTGGCTGACTGAGCCATGACACACTTGGGGACCTGAACCGTCCAACATCGCGCAAGTGATGGTCAACTCTCCTTCCTCATTGGTTGATGGAGAGGTCAGAACAGGTGAAGGTCACCTCTCATTACTTACTGGTTGATGGAGCGGCCATGGCAGGCTGTGGGCAACTCTACTTGCTCATTTGTTGATGAAGAGAGCATGGCAGGTGACGCAATGCTCTCCTGAGGAAAAAGAAACTACGAAAAAATCTCGAACTTTGAAGATGTTAAACCGTACATTACACTCAAACACGAGCTACTTAAAGCGCAAAAAAATTAGCTTATACTTTGAAACAATGGATGCAACATGAAGCTATGTAAAGTGTTTTTAGGGTGAAAGTAGAGTGGAACAAGCTGCCCGCTGAGGCTGCAAGTGTAGGATTCAACTATCACTCAGAGACAAAATAAAATCAACGGATTGCTGCATCAAGACTGTCAGTTGAGAACGAATCAAGTTAACAGTAGTAGTAGTAGTAATAGTAGTAGTAGTAATAGCAGTAGTAGTAATGATAAAAGTAGATGTCTGTGTTAGTCATACTACTATAGCACTGACACGAAGTGGAATAACATAATCTGTTACTTGTTACTGCAGAAACAGTACCGATTAACTAAAGGTAGCTGTAGCATAGCTATAGGTCTTCTACCCCACACTCATCTCTCCTGTAAATTCCATGCAGTATTTTTTTCAGTATGGTACAGTATACTTTCCCCTCCCGTTTTCAATCCGGCAGTGGCCGGAGGAGCGGAGGATGGGGAGACAGCTTTCCGCTTTACTATCCTTGAATCAAACACACAAAATACACGATACTCCGCAGTCTAGATAGAAGCACAGACTCAGTTTCTGCAGACAGCCTCTGAGTGGACTCTGAGGTACTCTGCTATACATCTTTCCCATGTACTCTGGTGGGTGATGGAGAGGACATGGCAGGTGACAGTCAGGTCACCTGTGTGATTGGTTGCTGCAGAACATCAGACACACAGTAAAGTATTTCTGATTGCTTAATAAGATTCTTCATTAAGTAAGTCAGACTGACGAGGGTCTTCGTGAACCAATCAGATTCGTGAGAAACCTCGTGACCCTGATTGGTTCACGATGGTTCAGGATGAAATAATGACACAAACGCGTTATAAAGCGATTCTTTGTTGACAACGTTTCGCCCACCAGTGGGTGGGCTTTATCAAGTCACAAACAAATCTGTTTGTGACTTGGGCGAAACGTTGTCAATAAAGAATCGCATTATACTCATTTTTGTGTCTTTTTCAAAGCTATCAGATTGGTAAGGATCCTCATCAACCAATCATATCTAAGAGAGCGAAACGTTGCCATGATAAAAATTTGTTCTGCACTTGTCTCTTAGTTTCCATTACTTCTCTTTATAAATCTTCTCTTTATTGTCATTATCTCTCTTTATTCAACTCCTCTTAGTTGCCATTATCTCTCTTTATTCAACTCCTCTTAGTTGCCATTATCTCTCTTTATTCAACTCCTCTTAGTTGCCATTACCTCTCTTTATTCAGCTCCTCTTAGTTGCCATTACCTCTCTTTATTCAGCTCCTCTTAGTTGCCATTTCCTCTCTTTATTCAACTCCTCTTAGTTGCCATTACCTCTCTTTATTCAACTCCTCTTAGTTGCCATTATCTCTCTTTATTCAACTCCTCTTAGTTGCCATTACCTCTCTTTATTCACCTCCTCTTAGTTGCCATTACCTCTCTTATTCAGCTCCTCTTAGTTGCCATTTCCTCTCTTTATTCAACTCCTCTTAGTTGCCATTACCTCTCTTTATTCAACTCCTTTAGTGCATTACCTCTCTTTATTCAACTCCTCTTAGTTGCCATTACCCCTCATTATTCAACTCCTCTAGTTTGCCATTAACCTCTCTTTATTCAACCCTCTTAGTTGCCATTACCTCTCTTTATTCAACTCCTCTTAGTTGCCATTACCTCTCTTTTTCAGCTCCTCTTAGTTGCCATTACCTCTCTTATTCAACTCCTCTTAGTTGCCATTACCTCTCTTTATTCAGCTCCTCTTAGTTGCCATTACCTCTCTTTATTCAGCTCCTCTTAGTTGCCATTACCTCTCTTTATTCAGCTCCTCTTATTTGCCATTACCTCTCTTTATTCAACTCCTCTTAGTTGCCATTACCTCTCTTTATTCAACTCCTCTTAGTTGTCATTACCTCTCTTTATTCAGCTCCTCTTAGTTGCCATTACCTCTCTTTATTCAGCTCCTCTTAGTTGCCATTTCCTCTCTTTATTCAACTCCTCTTAGTTTCCATTACCTCTCTTTATTCAACTCCTCTTAGTTGCCATTATCTCTCTTTATTCAACTCCTCTTAGTTGCCATTACCTCTCTTTATTCACCTCCTCTTAGTTGCCATTACCTCTCTTTATTCAGCTCCTCTTAGTTGCCATTTCCTCTCTTTATTCAACTCCTCTTAGTTGCCATTACCTCTCTTTATTCAACTCCTCTTAGTTGCCATTACCTCTCTTTATTCAACTCCTCTTAGTTGCCATTACCCCTCATTATTCAACTCCTCTTAGTTGCCATTACCTCTCTTTATTCAACTCCTCTTAGTTGCCATTACCTCTCTTTATTCAACTCCTCTTAGTTGCCATTACCTCTCTTTATTCAGCTCCTCTTAGTTGCCATTACCTCTCTTTATTCAACTCCTCTTAGTTGCCATTACCCCTCTTTATTCAACTCCTCTTAGTTGCCATTACCTCTCTTTATTCAACTCCTCTTAGTTGCCATTACCCCTCTTTATTCAACTCCTCTTAGTTGCCATTACCTCTCTTTATTCAACTCCTCTTAGTTGCCATTACCTCTCTTTATTCAACTCCTCTTAGTTGCCATTAGCTCTCTTTTTTCAACTCCTCTTAGTTGCCATTACATCTCTTTATTCAACTCCTCTTAGTTGCCATTACCCCTTTTTATTCAACTCCTCTTAGTTGTCATTACCTCTCTTTATCCAACTCCTCTTAGTTGCCATTACCTCTCTTTATTCAACTCCTCTTAGTTACCATTACCCCTCTTTATTCAACTCCTCTTAGTTGCCATTACCTCTCTTTATTCAACTCCTCTTAGTTGCCATTACCCCTATTTATTCCACTCCTCTTAGTTGCCATTACCTCTCTTTTTTCAACTCCTCTCAGTTGCCATTACCCCTCTTTATTCAGCTCCTCTTAGTTGCCATTACCTCTCTTTATTCAACTCCTCTTAGTTGCTATTAACTCTCTTTATTCAACTCCTCTTAGTTGCCATTACCTCTCTTTATTCAACTCCTCTTAGTTGCCATTACCTCTCTTTATTCAACTCCTCTTAGTTGCTATTACCCCTCTTTATTCAGCTCCTCTTAGTTGCCATTACCTCTCTTTATTCAACTCCTCTTAGTTGCCATTACCTCTCTTTATTCAACTCCTCTTAGTTGCCATTACCTCTCTTTATTCAACTCCTCTTAGTTGCCATTACCTCTCTTTATTCAACTCCTCTTAGTTGCCATTACCTCTCTTTATTCAACTCCTCTTAGTTGCCATTACCTCTCTTTATTCAACTCCTCTTAGTTGCCATTACCTCTCTTTATTCAACTCCTCTTAGTTGCTATTACCTCTCTTTATTCAACTCCTCTTAGTTGCCATTACCTCTCTTTATTCAACTCCTCTTAGTTGCCATTACCCCTCTTTATTCAACTCCTCTTAGTTGCTATTACCTCTCTTTATTCAACTCCAGTTGCTATTACCTCTCTTTATTCAACTCCAGTTGCTATTACCTCTCTTTATTCAACTCCTCTTAGTTGCTATTACCTCTCTTTATTCAACTCCAGTTGCTATTACCTCTCTTTATTCAACTCCAGTTGCTATTACCTCTCTTTATTCAACTCCAGTTGCCATTACCTCTCTTTATTCAACTCCTCTTAGTTGCCATTACCTCTCTTTATTCAACTCCTCTTAATTGCCATTACCCCTCTTTATTCAACTCCTCTTAGTTGCCTATTACCTCTCTTTATTCAACTCCATTGCTATACCTCTCTTATTCAACTCCATTGCCATTACCTCTCTTTATTCAACTCCTCTTAGTTGCCATTACCTTTCTTTATTCAACTCCTCTTAGTTGCCATTACCCCCTCTTTATTCAACTCCTCTTAGTTGCCATTACCCCTCTTTATTCAACTCCTCTTAGTTGCTATTACCTCTCTTTATTCAACTCCTCTTAGTTGCCATTACCTCTCTTTATTCAACTCCTCTTAGTTGCTATTACCTCTCTTTATTCAACTCCTCTTAGTTGCCATTACCTCTCTTTATTCAACTCCTCTTAGTTGCCATTACCCCTCTTTATTCAACTCCTCTTAGTTGCTATTACCTCTCTTTATTCAACTCCAGTTGCTATTACCTCTCTTTATTCAACTCCAGTTGCTATTACCTCTCTTTATTCAACTCCAGTTGCCATTACCTCTCTTTATTCAGCTCCTCTTAGTCGCCATTACCTCTCTTTATTCAGCTCCTCTTAGTTGCCATTACCTCTCTTTATTCAACTCCTCTCTATTACCAAAACAATATATTCTCTATCCTGTTGAAATCCTAATTTGTTCAATTTAAATTCATTGTTGGGAGTTCCGTATTTAATATCACATTTTTAATTATGTATTACATCCATTTGTACAAGTCACTCAAATCCCTCATATTTTTTTTAACGAGTATGTGTGTGAGTTCAGTGTTATTCACGTATTTTAGGGATCGTGATACATGGTATTTATCTGTTTGTTTATCCTGAAGGCTAATTAATGTATGCTGTGTAAGACACATGTGCAATGTATAGGCGTCTTTATCTTCTTCAATCGAATACAGGCAGTTATAACGCTGTAGATGATGGTTGATAAGTTTAGACGGATGTGTAACGCTTGGGTACGTATCCTTATTGTGGAAACGTTTCGCTGTACAGTGGCTACATCTGTGGCGA